CACTGCAAGAAGCACATGGCAAGAAATGACTGATCGACAGTGAATGCCTACACCTCCATGGCATCTGATCCCACCTCTGATGGTTTCAGGGGTCCGTGTTTGGTCTGCTCTCGTTTATATTGTTTCAGTGGTCTTTCAAGCTTGATTATTGTTTGTTTTCTCCATGTTTTATTGAAGTAAAATATTTTTCCTAGTAAATATGATTGTTTACTGTTACATTCTGTTTTGTTTGAAGATCCATATCTTTTAGGTAAAATAATGCATTTTGATTACAATTAATTTGCAGCTGAAAGAGCAAAACATAAATTTAAACTTTTCAATATTGTCGGAATATTGCTGTTGAAGGTTACCATTTTTTATGGATGAAGGCAATATTTTTATTGCCTTTGTTAAAAAGAAAGCATGCTTTATGCAGTAAATATTTAACATTTTTTCATAACTAGTTTAATGGACACATTAAACTAAAGGAAACATGATTTGTAACAGTTGGATTAAGAAGTGGGTGTTGTTTGTCTCGTAGCTCCAAATATTATATAAATTCAATTCACTGTGTACAAGAAACACCTAAAACGAAATGCTATAAACATCATTCTTAAGTACCAAAAAAATCCGTCAAGGATGTCACATACAATTCATATTAGGTAACCGCACAAGACAGATTGAACATTCACACATTCTTGTCAAATGAGTATGATTATTAAGACATTTTCATCGTGAGTTGACAGGTAAATTTTAAAAAGATAATAAGAAAAATAAATCTGAAGTTAAGAAAAATGGAATTCATATGTGACTGAATAATAAAAGTAATGATTTAAAAATGTACAAAAAGAGGCTATGCAATTAACATACATGTAGTTGAAATTTTATTTGTAAATAAGGTCTGGTTAAAAAAAAAACGCTATTACTTTAATATTTAAACTTTGGATATTGTGCTATAATGTCAGAGAAAAAAGAGATCTTATTTATTTTATTATGTACATTAAGTAATTGTTAATAAATCAGAAAAGATTTTCTTGATCATGGATGATGGGTTTTTTTTTTCAATCCAAAAATTATTTATTTTTGAAAATTATTGTTATTTTCGACAATTATGGAATTTTCTCTAATAGGTCTACTGTTGTACATAATGTGTTTAAATTACCTCAATGCCTAAATTTCTGTTTAAAGAAATATGAACTGCAACTTTGATGTAAAAAATTTCTGTTGCAAAATTGTCAAAAATTATTTCAAAGACAAAAAAGAACATTCATAAACTTCTGTTGTTCAGATTTGTAATAGAATAATTGTTAACAAGCATTATTGTCGTCCTGTACAATATTGTTTTCTGAAATAATACCAAATATTTGATTGTACAAAGGTCTTTCTTTTGAATCAATTTAATTATTAACTAAATACTTTACTTTAGTCTAATTAGTAAAGAAAAACGTTTAAATTACTTTAACATACATCGTAATGAAACATTAAAATAGCAAGGTAAAATTCTCAAAAATGCTACTCACACTACTTAAAAAATAATATAGCTAAAAAGATGTCTTGATTCAGCAATGTTGGGCTGCAAAACGGAGAGAATGAAAAAAATTACATATATTAAACTATGAACAAAATATGTATTACACAGCGAAATTTTTTTCCGTATTACAATACGAACAAAACTTAAATATGTATTACGTATTAAAAAAAAAATTATGCACGTATTACAAAGTAAACAAAACTTATATTTGTGTTGCGTTGTGAACAAAATTCATACTTTTATTAAATTGTGAACAAAATATACTTACATGAAATTGCGGACAAATTTCATGCATGTGTTACTTTGTAGAAAAAAATGCACATGTTTTACATTACAAACAAAATTGATACAAGTGCTACATAGTGAGCAAAATTTATAAACTATATTACATTATAAACAGAATTAATTAATGTATTACATTAAAAGAAAATGAAATAAATGTATTTTATTATGATTAATATATAATTGTATTACACTATAAATAAAATTTATAAATGTATTACAATAAAGCAAAATATAGAAATGTGTTACAATAAAGCAAAATATAAAAATGTATTACAAGTAAAATTTATAAATGTATTACATAGTAAGAAATTTTTTACATGTGTTACATAATTAACAAAATTTATAAATATACATTGTGAACAAAAATAAACATGTACACGAAGGACATTTATACTCAAATGACGTGAAAAACCGGATCTATCATCTCAGATGAATGTTTAAGAAGAAATAAATAGATAGGCTATGTCCAAATGTTATAAATAAACGTTTTAGAAATGAATGCAGTTTTAAACGTTTGATTTCTTGTAGAAAATTGTTTCCCTCTCCATTGATTGTAATCTAAGAGCGTTAACTCTAAATGATTCTATTTCCATGGATAAAAATTTCACAACGTTAAGATACTGCATATATTTTATGTTAAAAATATAGTGAAAAAAATTCTTGCTTAATGCTGCAAAACCTCTTGGTAGCCATCCGTCATTTTCCTATTTTTGTTCCTATTCATACATGTATATGTTACAGTAAATATGTGTAATCAGGAATTTCATATATTTCCTGAATTTTAGGAAAACATGATATTCCTATTCTGCTTAGGAAATACACATATTTACTGATTTCAGTTAGGGAATACATGTGTTTACTGAATTTTTAAAATCCTTTTACACATATTTACTGACTGTGTTTTGGAGAGATAATTTAAAATATAAATCATATATATGAACAGATGTACAGTACATTCAATGCATATATCAGTCACATCATATGTGACTAAATAGTATTTAAAATAAACCTTTATTGATTTACAAATTTCAAAAATGCCTTATTTGTAAATGCATGTATACCCCCATCCCCCAAAGCATAATGATGCACTGCTTACATTTTCTGGAATGTGTTATCAATATCACAGAATACTCACAATTATTTCTTACTTTATTAGATATTCATACGATGCTACTTTGAATTTATTGCCAGTAAATTTGCAACCCTGAAAAAAAAATCTTATTTGCAATTAAAACAATTGTTATGCTGTATGGTGAAAAATGCCAAAAAAAAATACATAAAATGTAATGAAATTAAAGTCAGTAATTCAAGATGAAACTTTACTTTAAGAATTTTCCACCCTCACAATTTTAATGGTTCGAAATAGAAAAACCATTAATTTTCACTAATGGAGTTTTAGAAAGTCAACGCACTGAGTCTTGCCCAGAATTCAAAATTAATGCATAACGTCATCTTTCTAGAAACAATTCTTAATAAATGCTGCTTTAAAAAACCGCATACTAGTATTTGTACTTACTGAATATTTTCAGGGATATGTATAGTCATCCAGCTTAGTTCAGTAAAAATGTGTAACATTGTCTAAAATTTTCAGTAAATACATGAATTTCCTAGCTTTTCAGTAATTACATTATTTTCTCCAGTATACATATATTTACTGAATGGTTTAGGAAATACATGGAATTCCTGATTTCACATATATTTACTGTTACATATAAATGTATAGCATTTTCATATCAGTCTACATTTAAAGTGTTAATATTTTATGTATTTTGATTGTAAGACATCGCCTCTTGAATATTTCTTTAAAGGAAATTTATTCCAAAACTTCATAAGAATCCTTACAAACCAAGATACATAGCGGGTTCCAGTAAATGTTCTACCAAGCCTCTTTCTTTACTCCTCACTAAAATATGAACAAAAGTGAAGGAGAAACTTCAGTAGTATTGTGCAACAATATATTCAAGAAGTGGTGTGAATCAAATGTGGATACTTAAAAATCCAAGGAACTTTTAAGAAAACTTTGAAATTAAGGGATATTACCAAAACAAACAGCTTTAAAACTTACGACTTTTGAACTTCATACACAAGAATTCCCCAGGATAAATTAAAGTCCAGGCTTTCCAAAATCACTGACAGCTGATTTTTCAATAAAAATGAACTTGAAAATTTGATTAGTTTGTCATTGGTCTCTTCCAAAATTATTTTGTTGAAAAGCATTCTGATTGTACACACAAATACTCTGAAGTCGACATCAAAAATTTGCTTGAGTTTCTGATGTATTTTGCCTCCCCCTTTAAAAAAGAGAGATTTTACGTTTTTCTTAGATAATGTACGAAAGTATAATTTATACTTTCAAATGGGACAACTGTAAATTTGTAAATTCCGACATTTTGAAATTATATTTCTGGTTTTTTTTTTCATGTTCTTTTCACTTTGCAATCCGGTATCCTGTCTATTTTGACTTAAAATTCCTGTCACAGTGCACTCCAATTTGGATCAGTTTCTATCTTATGTTAACCCTGATCTTTAACAATTTGATGCTGATCTTTAAACAAACAATAAAACCCTCTCTATATTCCAGTTTTCTGCAAACAATTTATTTAATCACAACCCATTGAACGCAAACGAACACATGGACATGATTGCAATATCAAAAGTAAGATATAGACAATCTCCACTGATTTGTCTCCCACTTAATTAAAAATTTGATAACATGAAGTGAACGATTGTAAATAACCAATAGCATGTACAACACAGCAAATGCAGTTATCTTTCCAGATTGAGTGGCATGTTTGGGATAAATCAGGCGGTATTGTTGAAAAGTTCAGGCGACTTTCACATTATTCAAATAAAATAAAATTAATATGTCCGACAAACTTTATTCATTAGTATGTCTATGTCGTCCAACAAATCCGGAAGTACGTGATAAGATGACCAGAAATCCCAGAAATGTTATAACCTTGTTTTAATAAATCAGTCATTTAGATGCATCGAATGGTAATATCACACTGCTAATATGCTGATAAGAAACCATTATCGTAACACAAGGTATGTTACTAAATATTGATTGATGGCTATTACAAAGGAAAAAAGTGTGCAGTGTAAAATAAAAGCATCAGCGATGTTTCAGAACGCACTTTGAACGACAGTCTGGACACCGTGAAAACATTCAAAAAGGATAATCCACCAAGAACCTTTCAGAAAAATGAACTTCAGTATCGAAGAGTACTATTCCATCCTAATTGAAATTTTGAAATCCGCTGATGAGGAAGATATACCAAGCCAAGCACTAATTGATGCTTGGAGGATAACAGAGATCTACGTTCAGCCGGTTATCTGTGTGATAGGGTTTCTCGGTAACCTTACTGCGGCACGTGTCTTCACCTCAAAGAACCTTCGTCTGAATTCCTCCAATCTGTACCTGGCGTTTTTGTCCTGTTTCACCAGTGTCTACATGCTGTTAGTTCTGCTGTCATGGTTAGCTGTGGTAAATGTTCCAGTCATAAATCAAAATAGAATTTGTCAACTGGTCGTATTTCTGACCTATGTCTGCAGTTTTATGACGGTTTGGTTGATTGCTGTAATCACCTTTGAACATTATGTCATTGTCCACCATATCAGAGCAGCCAGGTTCGTATGTAAACGTCGAAAGGCTAAAATTCTTGTTTCTTGCCTTATCGCCACTTCTCTTCTTCTATACTCTACGACACTATGGTCCACACGAGTGGAACAAAGGTCCAACATGCTAGTCTGTACACCAGGAAGTGACCAGCGAGCCCTGCTGACACGATTGGTGTTCTTCATTGACATGGTAGTCACCTTCTTGCTACCAGGAATAATTACAATAACTATCATTTGTGCATGTGTTGGTAGACATCTTCTTATGAAAGATATCAGAGTCTCGTTCTTTAGATATCATTCAAATATCAGGATATCAAGACGAGAGAGGTCCCTCCTCCGAATAGCTCGTGTTCTCTTGTTGATCAGTCTGTCCCATGTGGTGTTCAGCAGTCCATGTTTTATATTTAGACTCTGCTACCAGATCTCGTTCTTGTTAAATGAAGAAGACTCATCTAATTTACAGGATTATTATATCAATCAAATTCTTCAGAATATGTACTATTTTTCATTTACAGCGAACTTTATAGTTTATATTGCTTTTTGTGCAAACTTTCGTCTTGGATTGAAGAGTATCTTTACATTTCGGAGATTTAAATGCTCCCAGCATAGTGTATCCGAAACAACATAATTCTCCTCTTTATAACTTAAAAACTGAATTTTTACGGAAGTATGTATTGCCAAAAACCAACATTAGTAACCCATTACAAACAATGTGTTGTGCACGTGTTTATCAATATTGCATTTAATACTCCAATATGTAAATAGATCTATTCCAGTTGAAGACTCCCAGAGGCTATAGGTTATAATGGTGGGATTTATTCTTTGCATGTGTCATTAACATGTTACTGTCGCAGAAATCGCTCAATATCGTGCTCGACGTGAAGGATGGAATTGAATTTTTATCTTCAATTAATGTCTGATGTCTCTTTATTCATACTAAAAGCAACAAATATATGTTAAAAATTCAATTTAAGAAGAGTTAATTTAGATAAGGAGTGAAAAAGAGGAAATGAAATTCTTTACACAAAAGGTAGATGTGCTAAATGGCATGAAATAAATAGATACTGGGAGAAGACATTCAAAAAGATCAAAGTAAAGATTGTTAAAAAAAATAATGAAATTGGTCCTTAAAATTTTAGTAATGAGAGTAAGAATTATAAAATCAAAACCCTGATGAAAAATTTAGGTCCATTATTTTAAAACTTTCATTAATTAGTAGATTTAGTACCACAATAAAATTTATTATATGCTCGTATAAATATATACATGTATAATGAGCGATATTTAGCAGCTTTTCTTTAAAATCTTTGCAGAAAATACCTTATTAATTTGCAAGTTAATGGTGACCGCTCCAAAAATTTGATTCGTGAAAAAGCGCACGCACATTGGACTTTAAGAACTACATGTAATTTCATTTGGTCCTATCTCTGATGTTATAGAGGAACAGAATTGCAATGTTTCTGATTCATAAACTTTGAAGGGTTTTCTGAGCCTGAATACTCCTCGTTTACTCCATATTTCACTAGTTTTATTTTTATTTTTGGTGAGATAGCATATTTATATGAGACTCAGATTATTAGTATCTCTTTTAAAAATTTCTCTACAGCACTATTTTATCTGAACATTATTTTAATGTTCTTCTTGAAAACTGTTAGACCCACGTCCTGTTTTCATTAATTTGAAATAGGAGTTTAGATCAATGCAGTGAAATCGCACTTTGTCTCAGAGAAAGTCCCTGCAGAGTTATTGGACTGACACTAATAACACAGTCTAGATCTTACCTTTAATCTCTCCTTCTGAGAGAAGGCAGGAAATAATAAGCATACTGCGAGAAGACATGTACATTGTAATACACTGTATATTTTTAGAAAAAAATTCAACACAACCAGATACTGGTATATAATATATTTTTTAAAAATTCAACCTCATTTTTTCCGACTTCTGAAGAATTGTTATTACTGAACTTTTTAAAAAAGTAATTTTGTAATACTGTTGATAGGTTAACTATGTACTTTGAGTATCAGCTTAATTTTTAAAGATACGTGTATCATGGATATGTTTTTCAAGGCTTTTCAACACCCTAAACAATAGATTTTACAAAATTCTGGTTCCTTTAAAAAACTTAAAATTTATTACCACTAAGATATTTTTTCCTCCCAGCAAGGTACTGGAAATTCCAAAATCCATCTGTACTTAATAACACTTAATACTTAAAATCTTATACGACAAAAGAGGAAAACACTTGTTGTGGCCTTCAACTCGATATTAATCTATATCGACAACGTATTAACCATGGTTATTTCCATTCTTATTTCATTTACGATATATCCCGGTGAGCTTGAAATAAAGAAACCAGATTCTGACATATATCATATATATGTTTCATCTAACAACCAAGCTCTATGATAAACAAAATGACTAACTTTTCAATCCTTAACTTCCTTTATTTATTACACAATATACCTTCATCACCTGTATACGGGGTATACTAGTATATCTATCAGTTGAATCGATACGCAAGAGCGTGCTCCACGTATGAACAGTGTCTAAAACAAAATAAGTTATTGACAAAAAAGATGATGAAAGAATAGTATCAGAAAGCTCGTTACAAAGTTTCGTAAGTTCTATGGTCAATACCATGTCCATGTCAGAAAATACAATTTATCATTGAGTCAAATGCTGACTGACGTTCTTCATACTTTTTGTTTGGTCATTTTTTTAAACACTAATTTCTCGACCGACTTTTTTTTTTGTCATTTCCCAATCATGACCAGGAGCACACTGGGGGTGTGACCGGTCGACAGGAAATACTCACAACTCCGTGACTTTTGAGCTTGAAAACTGTTCGTTATCACCATTTATTTCGTTAAGTTGACTTCTTCATTTTTCTGTTTTGATTACAAAAGCTTCTAAGCTAGTGTTATTTTCTGTCTATGTATATAGGTATTATAAAAAGGCTATTTTTACATTGAGATTACAACATACCATGTTTAAATACTTCTGAATTGCTTTCTGTTGAAATTTAAAATTAATTTAAAATTGATATCTAAAAATTTTCATTAATTTTAAGCCACTAAAAAACACAAGATTTTAAATGGAGGAAGGGGCATTAATAATATTTTTTCTAGCCGTTTAACAGATGTATCTACACAGAGAACAATAAATTTTAAAAAGAAATAATTCATTAGAAAATTTAATTTAAAAATAACGAAAAATAAATTATCATTAAATAAATAAACTACATGATGCCGTTAACTTCCTAGAATCTTTTCCGTGCTCATATCAAAGATATATAGCTCCAATTGCATTTCATTTGCCATAGTATACACAGCTCCCTTCAGAAGTATACATTGAATGCCTGGTTTTTTAAGTCGTATTAACAATTAAAACAAGTTATATACAGGCAGGTTTCAATCAATATCGTCTCTATTCTTATCGCCTTTCTGCCTTTTGTTAAAAAGCACAACACTCTAACGTGGCGAATACAATTCTACTTTTACTCTGTTAAAATGAGTAATAATGAGATTCGATTATCCTTTAGTGTTCTCTTACAAATTTTCATGATTTAGTATTTGTGATTTTTGTTAAATTTTGTAATAATCAACAATTCCAATCAACAGAATTGTTTTGTATATTTTGTAATATGGCACAATATATATGGCAAAATAAAAACTAATGGATCAATGTAATAAAATGTTGTTTTACTTAATTATGTAAGTTTGCTTTTGTATTGCGAGTAATTTAAATATTTTACCTGAATGTTCATTGAAATATTGTTGAATCTGAATGTTAAAAAAAAATAAAGTTCTTTTTGTACGGAGAATATTTCTCTTCCTTTATCCACTTTATTTTTTATGCAGATTCATTCTCATTTTAATTATATATATAAAAGTATTTGATGAAGGATATGGAAATAACGAAAAGTATTCAATATCAAAGTCCATAAAACAATACAAAATAAAAGCAGAGTAAAAACATACCTCTTAAACATCAGAGGTGGGATCAGGTGCCATGGGAAAAGTGAGCATCCCCTGCTGACCAGTCACACCCGCCGTGTGCTCCTTGTCATGATCGGGAAATAACGGAAAAATCCGTCGTCAATTCAATGTATAAATAATGGACTAACAATTAGCATGAAAAACATAAGTCAGCATTTGACTCAATGATAAATTGTATTTGCTGACAAGGTCATTGTATCGACCAAAGAAATTACGAAATGGTGACTTTAAACGACACTGCTGATATTCTTGTTTCATCAACTTGTTTGTCAATAACTACCTCGGTTTAGAAATTGTTCATACGTAGAGAATGCACTTGCATATCGAATCAACTGAGATATATAAATCCGTATGCAGGTGATGAAGGTATATTGCTGCATAAGTAAGGAAAGTTGACGATAGAAAAATTAAGGTCATCACATTGTTCATAGAGCTTGGTTGTTATTACCAATAACATCTTTTTCAAACAAAATATCCAAGTATTAAACAGAGGTGTCAGACTCTGTGGTATCTTTTATCTCAAGCTCACCAGGTTATATCGTATCGACATAGGAATGAAAATTACCATTGTTAATTGACAATACGTCGTCAATTTATCTAAATGTTGAGTTGAAGGCCACAGCAACTGTCTCTTCTTTTGATGCATAAGATTTTACACAAATTCTGCTTCATATGAATACAAAAATAGGTCTGCTAATAACGGAGCGCAATTGGTACCCATGGAAATTCCAATATATTGTTGGAAGACATGGTTTCCAAAAACCACATAGATATTGTCAATCAGAAACTCAAGTATCTTTTTGATGTCAACTTCAGAGTACTTGTGTGTGCAATCAGAATGTGTTTTTACAAAACAATTTTGCAAATGACAAATGACCAAGTAAGTGAATTTACGAGTTCCATTCAGTTCCATTTAGCTGAAAACGCAGCTGTCAATGAGATCAGAAAGCCTGGACTTTAATTTATCGTGGGGAATGGTTGTGTATAATGTTTAAAAGTCGTAAGTTTTTAAGCTGTCCATCTAAGAATCTGAATAAAAATGCAGAACTTTTAGATGAAATAGAAGAACATGAGAAGTTTATAGATGACATAGGATATACAGAAACTGGATATCCTTCAATCAGAAAAGATTACATCATTGATAAAGGTGAGGCTTTTACAATCAATTACAATGCAAGATATCAGCACGTCAAGTAGTTATAATTCCATACAACATATAAAAATTGCTAGATTAGATACCACTAAACCATCCTAGGGTTTAACCGGAAATTCACTGAAACCGGAACCGGAAGTGCCCATGGTCAAGCGTATACATGTACTGCAACGACACACCAACAGGACTACTGCATAAGAATTACTTACTTTTGTGGAAGGAACCTATCGGGGGGTATTGAACAAAGTTGTCTTATACTCCTCCCCCCTCATGAAATAGAATTTTCGACTTTGGGAGACTTTTCCCTTTTTTTCTTTTTGCTTGTCAACTTTTTCAGGTAAGTAAAAAAAATTTCTCTGGCTGCCCCCCCCCCCCAATTTTCAAAACCGATGCTACGTGGCTGCAATTTAAAAAAAAAAATTTTAAAAACCACACACACACACACTTTAAAAAACAACACAAACACCCCGGAAAAAC